GGGGGCGGCCGGGGCGCCGGGGGTGGCGGGGGGCTGCCGGGGGCTCGGGGGGGAAAGCAGGAGCTGCTCGGCCGCCCCCAGCTCCGCCTCCGAGCCGTGCGTGGGCTGCGGCTCCGGGGCAGCGAAGGCCGTGGACCCCTCCTCGGCCGCCGGCTCCAGCAGCGCYCCCTCCTCGGGCCGCTCGGTACCGGCCCACAGCACCACCTCGGTGCCCGCGGGGGACGGGGACGGCGAGGGGACGTCCCAGGCCGGGGGGGACGCGGTGGCTCCGCTGCGGGGCTCGGCCGAGCCGTTCCCGGCACCCAGGGACTGCTCGGGCTGCTCCGGGCTGGGCTCGGCCGACCCTTGTGGAGCCGCGGGGCTCAGCCGCCCCCCGGGCCCGGGCTCAGCCCCCTCGGTGCGGCCGGAGCTGGCTCGGTGTCCCTCGGAGGGACCCTCTGGCTCCAGGAATGTCACCGCTTTCCTCTGCCTCTCCAGCGCGCCGTCCCCCGGGGCCCCGCTGTTGTCACCGCTGTCCCCGCGGGGCTGCGGCTCGGGACCCTCGGCCACCAGCGGGGCCGGGGGCAGCGGGGGCCACGGGGGCACGGAGCCTCCGCTCTCCTGGGCGGGGGTGTCCCCGGAGAAGTCCTCGGTGCCATCTGCGGGGGCCCGCGGGGAGTCCCCACGGGCGGTGGGAACGCGGGGCGGAGCCCCCTCGGCGGGGATGTCCCGGTGAACCGGAGCGTGGCGGGGAGCGGCGGGGGCGGCCGGGGACGGGGACGCGGACGGGGACGGGGACGGGGACAGCGCGGGGCGGCTCCGTGCGGGCCACCCTGAATCCCTCGGGAGCGGCGCCTGCGGCGAGGGGGACACCGGGACGGCGGCCGGGACCACGAGCTCTGCAAGAGATGGCACCGCCATGGGGTCCCCGAGCGGCGCAGCCCCGCCGCGACCCCCGGCCGTGTCCCGGTGTCACTTACCGGTGTCCTCCACCTCGTTGGGGGACGCGTGGGCTCCGTCCCGCCGGGGGCTCTCGGTGCCGCCTCGGGGGAGGCTCCACAGCTCCACGGCGTTGGATGCGGCTCCCTTCACCTCCAGCGGCAGCACGGGGGCCTGGGTGACCGTCCCCGCCGGGTTCCCGGCCANGTCACCGCGGGGTCCCGGCTGTGCCGCTGGAGCTGGAAGTAGCGGCCGTTCAGGCCGGGGTAGCTCTTCCTGGGGGTGCTGGGGGTCTCGGGGGCCGCGCTGGGGACCGTCCCCAGCCCAGGCGGGGCCAAGGACGAGGCGGGGATGCTCTCCAGGACCGGGCTTTGGGAATGTGCCGGGACCGGCGCTTGTTCAGGGTCTCCCCGTGCCGGGTCCCGCCGGGAGCTCTCCGGAGCCTGATCCACCACGTTGAGAGCCTCTTCCTCCTCCTCCTCCTCCTCCTCGTGGGGCCCGGCCGGCGAGGTGACCGCGGTGGGCGGCACGGATGTCGCAGCGCCCGTCGCCAGCCCTGGAGCCGCCGGGGCCGGTGACAGAGCAGCGGCCGGGAGGTCCCCGCGCCGCGCCGCCACCGCGCTGCCGCTGSCCGGCCGCAGCTGCTCGTCCTCATCCTCGCCCGGCCCCGCGGGCCCCGGCAGCCCCGGGAGCTCGTAGCGGTCGCGGGGGGTGTCGCGGGTGTCCCCCGACGTGCCCAGCTCCTCGCTGTGCTCCACCAGCACGTTGTCGCTGCTCGGCGGGTCGGGCGTGGGCGGCACCGGCAGCACCGGCTCCTCCGCGTCCCCCTGTCCCAGGGCTGCGGGGACACCGCGGGCATCAGCGGTGGCACCGAGGGCACCCTGCGGTCCCGGGGCCTCCTCGAGTGTCCGCACCACGCACCGCATCCCCCTCCCCGCACCCAGCGGAGCCGGGCTCCCTCCCAGAGCCGCTCTCCTCATTGATCTCATTAATTCCCCAATTAATTATTCATCCGCAGCAATTTTCCCGGCCGTGCCCACTGGCTCCCGAGGGAAGGAGGGAGCGGCCGGGGGTCTGGGGGGGAGCTCGGCCGCTCCCGCTCACCTTTGTAGCAGTAAGCGTCGAACTTGGCGGCGGCGGGGGGGAAGCCGGTGCGGTTTGGGAACTGGTAGAGGGTGCGGACCCCCGAGGCCTCGCCCCCGCACTTCCTGCGCGGCAGGCGGATCGGGTAGCGCACGCTGCCGTCGGCCAGCCAGCCCGGGTCGCACTGGTCCAGGCCCTGGCGCCAGGCCAGGTAGAGCTGGCCCGTGGTGGCCAGCGAGGCGCCGCGGCTGCGGCAGTGCCTGCGGGCGCCCTGCCAGGTGAAGCGCCCCGGCGCCGTGGCGTAGAACACGGTCCCTGCGGGAGAGCGGCGGTGTTGGGGACCCGGGGACGGGAGGTGACCGTGCCGATGGCTCCGATGGCGCTTTTGGGATGTCCCCGTCGCCTGAGCGCGGCCGGTGACAAGGATGGCACGGAGCGCTGGCACGGCCCTGGCACCGCCCGCAGCCGGACCGCAGCCGGACGGGGATGGGCAGCGCTGTGGCCGTGGAGGGACATCCCCGGGCACCCAGCCATGGCCACGGCCACCAAAGGACATCCCCGGGCACCCAGCCATGGCCACGGCCACCAAAGGACATCCCCGGGCANCACCAAAGGACATCCCCGGGCACCCAGCCATGGCCACGGCCACCAAAGGACATCCCCGGGCACCCAGCCATGGCCATATCAAGGGAGGGCCATCCCCGGGCAGCCCCGGGCCCGTCCCGGAGCGCGTCCCTTGCCTCGCAGCTCCCGGGAGTAGCAGTAGACGTCGTAGAGCTCGCTGGGCTCCCTGGGGCCGTAGCTGCGCACCCCGGGCAGGCTGTTGCGGTCTCCGTAGCAGCCGGGCCGGGACAGGGTGATGGGGTACCTGCCGGGAGGGGCACGGTGGGCGCTCGGCTCGGCGGGGACGCGGCTCCCGGGGCTGCCCGCGCCGCGCACTCACCGCACGCTCTGGTCGCTCAGCCAGCCCGCGTCGCARTTGTCGTAGCCGTCCTCGAAGGCGGCCTGGAGGTGCTGGGGGGACGCGATGACGGCCGAGTTGTCGCGACAGGCGCGGCGGGCGGCGGCGAAGGTCAGAGCGTAGCGCTCGCCCGCGGGCCGGTAATGGAACACAACGCCTGGGAGGGCGAGGAGCGCGGAGATGGGACAGGGCCAGGGCCAGGGACAGGGACAGGGCCAGGGACAGGGACAGGGACAGGGCCAGGGACAGGGACAGGGGGGCAGGACTGGCACGGGGTGCGGGACTGGTGCGGGTTTAGGGCTGGTGCGGGTTTAGGGTTGCCATGGGGTTTAGGGCTGGTGCGGGTTTAGGGCTGGTGCGGGTTTAGGGTTGCCATGGGGTTTAGGGCTGGTGCGGGGTTTAGGGCTGGTGCGGGGTTTAAGGCCGGTGCCCGGTTTAGGGTTGCCGCGGGTTTAGGGCCGCCGCGGGTTCGGGGCTCACCCGTCACCTCCAGTGGCAGCAGGTCCTGCTCGTCCTCGATGCCCGCCACCACCTCGCAGCGGTAGAGCCCCGCGTCGCTGGCGCGGGCCGCCCGCAGCTGCAGCGTGGCGTTGGAGCGGTCACGGGCGTAGCCGGGCAGCGACACCCGGCCCTCGTAGGCTTTCACCACCTTCACCGCGTTGTCCTTGGCCACCAGGATGGGCACGTCCTCCCTCTGGCCGCCGGCCGAGCGCACCTTGCTCCATTTGACGCGCGGCGGCTCCGGGGGCTCGTTGGGCCCCAGCGCGGCCGAGGGGTGCAGCAGGAAGAGGCAGGGCAGGGTGACSGGCTCCCCCAGCCCCACCCGCAGCGCCCGGTGCTGCACCCGCCTGATGTGGATCACCTTCCCCTCGTCCTGGGAGCCTGCGGGACACGGGCTCGGCTACCGGGGGCTCTGGTCCCAGCGGGGAGGGCCGGGGGCTCTGGTCCCAGCGGGGAGGGGAGGGGGCTCTGGTCCCAGCGGGAAGGGCCCGGGGCTCTGGTCCCAGCGGGGAGGGCAGGGGGCTCTGCCCGGGCTGCCCTGAGCACCCCCGGATGAGCAGAACGGGAGAATCAAATGGGATAAAGCGCGGCCGCCCCGTTCAGCGGCCGCACATCGACCTTGACCCCCTCTGGGGCTGAACCCCCAACTCGAACGGGGTTCACGCCCCCCGGATGCTGCCCAGCCCCCCCCCGGAATGTCCCCAAGTGTGGCCACTGCTCTGCGCCCGTGGGTGCGCCCCCGAGCTGGGATGAAGCGCGGCCGGACCGTGACCACCCTCTCCTCCTCCTCCTCCTCCTGCCGCGCTAATCCCGTCCCAGCCCGGGCGCGCTCCCGGCGCCGCCGCCGCAAATCCCCCGCGTCTCGGGCCCCCCTGGAGCCCCGGCGGGGTCAGCGCTGCTCCCCGCAGAGCCCGGCCAGCTGGGCACCCCGCACAGCCGCTAATCCCCCGCACCTTCCTCCCACCCTGAGCGCACCCCGAGCCCGCCCCTGCCCGAGGGGTCCGGCTGGGAGAGCCCAGAGCCCCCGTGCAGCGGGGACCGGGGGGACACGGGGCAGAGCCACCGCAAATCCCCGGGGGGCTCAGCYGGGCCTGGGGAGGGGTCGCCAGCGGGATTAAGGATTTAAGGTCTCGCCTGCGGGGATCCCAGCCCGGGGGGGTCCTGGGGGGCTTCTCCCTCGCTAATCCCGCCSGCAGCCCGGGTGATTGCTGCCCGCCAGGGTTTATTCCAGCCCCGAGTTCATCATTTCTGGTGTTTGCCCTCTGGGCAGCCCCGCCGCGGAGCCTTACCCAGGGCGGCGATGGGGAGGAGGCAGAGCCCGAGCAGGAGGCAGCAGGCGGCATCCCCCATCCCATGGACCATCCCATGGACCATCCTTGACCTGCAACGACACGCGGGGCTGGGAGGCCTCGGGAGGAGCGGGATCGGCCCCGGCAGCCCCGGGGATCCCCAGCCCCGACCGATCCCTGCCGGCCCCACCAGGGACTGGGGAGCTCTCGGCTTTGGGGCACCCCAGAGCCCCCCGAGCCTCTCCAGCTGCCCCGAGCCSAGGCTCTGCCTCATCCCCCATCCCYGATGCTCCATTTCCCAGCCYTTGATTCCTCATCCCGKCCCTTCTGTGCTTTTATGGGACGAAAATAGAAAGAAAGAGCAAAATGGCGAGAAAAAAGGAGACCCCCCGTGTTCTGCGCTGGCAAAGGGCCTTTTCGGGGATGCAAAACCGGGTTTTATCGGATTTCTTCTCAAGAAGAAAGCGCTGGCAGCCCCTTCCCTCCCGCGGCAGCTCCGCAGGGCGCTCTGTCCCCAAAGCCAGCCTCTGGGAGGGGACAGGGAGGTGACCCGGCCTGGCCATGGAGGGAAATCCCCGGGATGAGGAATGGGGAGCGCGTTGTGCCTTTGCCCGGATAAATTTCCCGGAATCTGGAAAACTTTCATCCCTGCTGGGGGAGGCTCGGGCAAGGAAATGTCCCCGGCAGCACCAATTTTTTCCCTGTCTTCCCGCTCCAGGGGAAAACAAGAAATCCCTTGGCACTGCCGGGCTCGGGAGGTTCCAGCTCCTCCCATTGAAATGTTAATTTTGACTTTCTGGGGTGTCCAGGAGCGATGGGACCTCGCTCCCTTCCTGGAACCTTCCCCTCCTCCATCCTCYTCCTCCTCCCCGGAGCTCCCGGCAGAGCCTCCCCCGTTCCCAGGGACAGCTCGGGGGGTCCGGGGGTCCCATTCCCGGTGCCACCCCCGCTGTCACACCGGGCAGGCGACACGGAGCAGGGAGAGCCCCCGGCGAGGAGCAGAAATCCTGCTCGGATMTTTGCTCAGAGCAAACAGCCCGGATTTATTCCAACGTTAAACACTGAAGTTGCTCTTTGGGGATGGAGGGACGGGCGGGGGTCCCGGAGCCCGGCAGGAGCGGGGCTGTGGGYGCCGCTCGGGGTTTGGGGTTGGCTTTTGGGGTCCCAGGGCCGCGGGCTCCGGCTGAGCTGTCCCCTCCCTGCCGCCAGCGCTCCTGCGGGGTTTGCTTTGGCAGCGGGAACGGCGGGAGGGCCGGGCCGGCAGCACCTGGGAAAGCTCCGCTGTCCCCAAACCCCCCGAGCAGCGACACCTCTGCCCCCCCCGGGGCCACCCCAGCTCTCGGGACGCGCTCTGCTCCTGTCCCCGCCCGTCCCCGCCCCGCAGCCCCTCGGACCGGACCCGAACGCCGCGCGGGGAAGGTGCTGAGCCAGCAGAGAGTTTCTCCCAAGGTCAGGACAAACGACACGGGCAGCGCCATCCCCTGCGGCCGGAGCCGCCACCCGCGCTGTCCCCGCAGCCCGGTGATGTCCCCGCAGCCCGGGGGTGTCCTCGCAGCCTGGGGGTGTCCCCGGTGATGTCCCCGCAGCCCGGGGGTGTCCCCGGTAATTCCCGCCTCCCCTTGATCCACGATCCAGCCCCAGTGCCCGGTGGGGACAGCGAGGCGCGGGGGTGGCACAGGAGTGGCACGGGCGTGGCACAAGGGTGGCACGGGGGTGGCACGGGGGTGGCACGGGGGTGGCAGCGAGGTGACGGAAGTGACCAGGCCGCCTCGGGCACCAGGGCCCCGATTTCTCAGGGGAATCTCTCCCCGCAGTCAGGGCGATGTCACCGCGGTGTCCCCAGCGCCACGTGGCTCTGCCCCCTCGGGGACAGGAGCGTGTCCCCGTCCCCCCGCGCCCCGGCCCCGCCGGGGGAACGGCAGACGAGAGAAATTTAAAATAACGCCGGTGCAAAACGCCCCCCCAGCCCCCCCAACCCGGGGGAACATTTTCACATCTGTCACTCGCTGTCACCTCATGAATAATTCATCCTTCTCATGAATATGCAAAGCCGGCGCTGGTGATTAGCTTGAGCTGAAACGGAGCTTAATTCCACCCAGGCCGCGGGGCGCCGGGACCACCCGGCCACTCCGGGGGTCGCCCCGAGCTCGGACGGGGCCGGGGGCGGCTGCGGATCCGGGACCTGCACGGAGCTGAGGGGACATTTGGGACAGCGCTGGGGACACGGGACGGGTGGCAGCAGACGGGGACACTGCCCACCCGCCCGGGCAGCCCGCGAGCAGCGGGACATCGCTGTCCCCGCCYTGGGGACGCCCCAGCGCTGGTGACGCCGCGGGCTGTCCCCGTGCGGAGCGCGGCCCCGGTGACCTCTGCSGTCCCCGCGGGTCACTCCGGTCCGCGGTGCCACCGCCACCGGGCACACGACACCGCGGTGCCCACCCCCAGGTGCCCCCAGCCCGCGGGGTCGCTCCTGCGCCCCCCGCCCGCCGCCGCCCCCGGCCCCCGCGGCACCCACCTCCCTCCCGGCGCCCGGTGCCCCCGCCGCCCCCGCGGGGACCGGGGATCTCGGCCGGGCCCTCCCGGGGCTGCGCGGCCGCGGCAGGAGCCCGGCGGCGGGGCCGGCTCGGCGTCCCCTCCTCTCTGCCCACAACAAAGGAATTCTGCAAACCTCGCTGCCGTCACATCTCACAGGCAACGTGATGCTCCCGCTCCCCCCAGCCTGCCGGAATAAATTAGCACCTCGGGAAACTGTGATCCCGTCCAATATGGGCCCTTTGCCGGGTGCGATTTTTATTAGGCAGACAGTCTGCAGCCTTTATTTTAGAATTCGCTCCTCTTTTTTTTTTTTTTTTTTTTTTTAAATTTTAAATTTATCCATTCTCTTTGCCCCGCTTTCTGCTGTCCCCGGCAAGCGCCGCGGGAGCCCCAAAGCCGGTGCAGCCTCGCTGCGAGCCCTCGGCTCCATCGCCAGCCCCGCCGGTGCCTCGGCCGGACCGACACCGCTCCCGGTGCCCGAACGGGAGGGGACCCTCGGCCCGTGGCACCGCTGTCCCGCCGGGTTGGGGTTTGCGCCCCGGGACAGGGAGATTTCGGGCTCCCAACCCGCCAGGGAGCCACCAGTGTCACCAACGAGGAACTGGGTGGCCAAGGAGCAGGGGGTGACACCCCGCCGCCACCCAGCGCTGTCCTGCCACCCCTCGCCACCTCTCCCTGCCCTCCGCCTCGGTGCCAGCTCAGGGGGGCTCAGGGCATGGTGTCGCACTGTCCCCAGCCCTGTCTGTCCTGCTGTCCCCAGTGCGGGGGTCCCCAGTCCCTGTCAGTGTCCCCCAGCCCCCGTCAGTGTCCCCCAGCCCCCGTCAGTGTCCCCTGTTCCTCTCAGTGTCCCCCAGTCCCTCTAAGTGTCCCCCAGCCCCTCGCAGTGTCCCCTGTTCCTCTCAGTGTCCCCCAGCCCCTGTCAGTGTCCCCCAGCCCCTCGCAGTGTCCCCAGCCCCTGTCAGTGTCCCCCTGTCCTGCTGTCCCCACACCGCCAGTGGCCACACCCCCATTGTCCGGCTGTCCCAGTGCCCCGATCCCGCAGTGTCCCCTGCAGCCCCCCTGTCCCCAACCCCAGCACCGCCATCCCTGAGGGTCCCCTCAGTGTCCCCAGCACCCTCCCCACGCCCGGGCCGCCATCCTTCTCCCCGTCCCCCCGGTACCCCCGGTACCCCCGGTGTCCCCCCACACTCCCGCCAGGAGTGTGCCCCCCAGCTCCCGCCTCTGTCCCGCTGTGCCACAGCCGTGCCGGTGTCACCGTCCC